GTTTAACATAGCAGCAAATGTACAACGTTTCGACAAGGTTTTGTCATCATCAGGTACAAAACCTTGTCGAAACGTTGTACATTTGCTGTTATATTAAACTTATATTAAAGTTTTTCTTCATTACCCATTCAAGCCGTCTCCAACCATTACAGGTCTCATCAGTTGCTATCAAAGTCTACCGTTTGGGAAAAAATTCTCATTACTGAAGTAGAAAAATAAATCCTATATACACATTTATGAATGCTAACATAGATAAAATCAAAGAACGTTTGCCATTTTATTTTACTTTAAAATAAATATATACTGTTCTTTCAGCATTCACAATGTGTCAGGATAAAACACTTAGTACTAAATATATTTTTCATTTTGGTTGATAAAAAAGTTAGAAAATATCTTATCACTACACAAAAGAAAATATTAAAAATGTATTTACATCGTGTTTATAAATTGAACATAACTCAACCCTATGATGTGGAACTTTGTTAGGTAACAGGTATAGAACTTTCAGAAAATAAAAAGATGTAGCTTCTGACCTTTCATGGTGTGAACACCTTTAACTAGTTTCAATTTTCATTAAAAGCTGTTATGCTAAAGAGTGAACACCTTTAACTTGTTTCAATTTTCATTAAAAGCTGTTATGCTATAGAGTGTACACTGACATCACAAGAAGAGATTTTCTGAACTTTGAAACTATACAACAACGATACAACTTCATTAAAAAACAGTCTAGCTGGCCTTTAGTGGAACTTGTAACTCCAATTATGTAGTTAACACTTATTTGTATCGTGTGTATTAGTAACTTCTAAAAAATCATTAAAATGACATTTAAAAATGATAATCACCAAATACTTTGATGTTATAAAGTGGTAATAGTTTCATATATGATACTTGTGGTACATACTATACGACAAAAAAAAAATACATATATAAAGGGCATTGTTCTTTTTTTACAGTTTTTAACTGGTAAAGGTACCTAAATAATATACTATGATAATTTCTGACCAAATGAAATATATTCAAGATACAGTAACACTGTACAAACTTTTAATTGAGTATGTATTGTATGTACAACAAAAAAAGTTCAAATAGTCTTATTGCAAGAGGTTTCAAGAAGTTCAAGTAAACATTCTATTTTCATCAAAATGTCAAATCATGCCAATCCTTTGTTTTTTGCTAATGATTGAAGAAAAAAAAAGTTGTTTAATCATAGAAATTCATCCAGCCAGTTTTATACGAGGCAAATAAAAAAAAACAATATTTCTTGATCATAAAAAGAAATAAAGAATCTGCTCAGTTTGTTACCCTAATGCAGTACATTACATCACCTTACATTAGTACAGTTACTTTTCTGCCAGTTTCTGTCAGGTTACTTAGTAGTTTTAAGCCTCTGTATCTCCTACAGAAAAGAAACAAAACTAAATCAGGCAATGATCATTTAAAGATTACAGAAACTGTGCAATTCTTAATTATTAGCATATTAATAAGTATAGACCTATACACGTCTCCTCGAACAACAGAATATTAAACATTAGTTGACACACTGTATTTTCAGTTGAGATAAGTCTAACAGATTTTATCAATGTAGAACAAGCTTAACTTAACCATATATACATAGGTATAGTTTTTCAAGTTTCAGAAATTGTCATCACAGATACTAACAGGTAATGCTACTTTTTTTTCCACTTTTAGTTTGGAACAATAAATATCAATACCCTGAATGTTTTTGTTAACCAAAGTATGAAACTGATGCAACATTTACCTTTAATACAGCATCAATTCTTGTAGGGGTCAGATGTTGTAATTCACGGATAACATCATTATAACCGGCTAGTTCTTTAGGTTTTGGTGCTAGAAATAGCAATATAAAAGATGTCAGAAAAATTATTTAACATATGAAAAAAAAAATCCACATGAAAAACTATTCAGTCTTCAATTAATCAATACACATAATATCACTAAGTACTTGCTACAGTTTTAGGGTAGACTGCCTAATGTCACATGGCATGAGGTATATCTCAAGTATAACTAGGCTTTCTTAACAGCTTCTTGTCTTTCCCACAGTTAATGAAATCTACCATTTAAGTTTCAAAGCTAGATGTTTTGCATTGTAATAGTCATAAAGGCTGGAATTAAAGTACAGGAATTATATTCTACTTCACCGAATAATTCTGCAGTTTTTGGAAGTCTTCATGGATGTCAACATCACCATGACATGACTGGGGGAAAGTACGAGTTCTGAAAACCTCCATACCACTGTTGACCCAATCATGCATCTACTGGTTGCAAAAAGTTTTAAAATTTTACTGCTACTAAACCAGCAAAAGTGAAAGATACCAAACTGCCATAAAATCCTCCTTTTGCTTGTTTTACAAATATGATGTAGCCTGAAAGATAAGTAAAAGAAAGGTAATCTGAGGGCATGCTGGCTTGGAAATAAAGCTACTGAACTAGTTACAGTGAAGGAAATCCCAGTGCCATGAAATTCGTTTACTTGTTTTACCCTCTTGTTACAGCCTGAAGGATAAGTCATAGAAGATTAATCTTGGGGCAAGCTGGCCTTGAAAGAAAAGCTATGTTATAGACACTTTCATCTACTGTTGACCTAAATTTTATGCATGTAGCCATTGACTTATCACATGATGCATCAACCACTACAATAGTGAAAGATGAATGCACATGTCTAATCATAACAATATTAATGTTTAGTTTACAATATTTTCACTTAATCTTGTTTGAAAAACTGTGGTGGAAAAAGCTATAAATTGTAAAAAAGTGTCAGGGGAGTACATGTGTCATTAGTGGATGTTCCAATAATTGACTTAAACTTAATTTATGGAAAGAATCAATGTATGAAATACATGGACAAGTATACAAAGAACATGCATGTTGGTTTCCTTATAAGTTTCACATTATGCCTCAAAAAAGGGTTTATAAAATTTGAATGGATTAAATCAATTGATAGAAAAACACTGGAAATTTTCTTAATGGAATGCTAACATAAAGTCAAAGAAACCCATACCGAAAGCTAAGATTGAGATATGAAAACAATGCCACACGTAAGCTTCAGTTACAGGACGTGGACTTGACAAAACAAAAACTAATCAATATAGAGGACTAATAAAAAAAATTAAAGATGCAAGTTTCAATAACAAATAAATTGAATGTTTCAGCAATTGATACTCTTCCTGAAGTTATATGTAGTTTTAATGTCATTCAGCCCTCAACTACATACACTGCTACAGAATGTGAGGAAAGTAACTTCTTTATTCACACTGATCACTCATAAGGAAAAACTTGGACAACATTCAGACAAGATTTACCCAGATTAATCAAACACTGACAGAGTTCAGTGTAAATTAGAAGGAGGGAACATGTTAACAATGAAACTTTGGTAACTAACAGTGATGTATTTCTCTACACAGGTGTGACCAAACAAGTGATTTTCAACTTGACTTATGCAATGACTGATGAATTTAAACCTTTTAAGTACAGGCAGATGTGATTACCATCCGCTTGACTAGGGAAGGACTTTTATGCAACATGAAGACAATTGCATACCAATTTCAAAATAATCATTGTTAGGTTATAGTGTAAAATAAGCTCTTTCTGATGACTATACACATGTGTATGTAATGTCTACACGTAGACTATAAAGCACCTGTCAGGGGTTGAGAAGATTTATTACTTGCTTCAACTACATTCATTCAGAGAACTTTGAAATGTATGAATCAAAAGATTATGTAAGCATCTTATAGTCTAGATGCACATCTACTCAAGTGCCATTGTATTATTGAAGATACAGAGAGCTAAACTACAGAATTTTCATAGCTTGTTGGTAACGATAGAATACATCTGAAGTTTTAAGTAGTTCTTAAAGTTTTTTTTTTAAATAAAAGACTTAACTTAGAGAACATAAAACTTTGAATCATGTCACACATTATAATGTTAATTTCATTCACGTACATTGATGAATGTAAAAGACTTGTGCAGAAAAGGAATAAAAGTGATACCCATTGCAAAACTACTAGTAAGATATAACTGATCAACTAATGCTAGTTTTAATGCATGTTAAGTTACATTTAATATTTGATTACTTGTTCTGGCAGCCAGTTCAAAGACTCTCTTAATTTTAAAATTTTATTATATGTAAAAAAATACAAAAGCATTCAAACTCAAATTTTTTATCATTATGTCATGGAAACCAAATAACAAAAGTACTAAAATTATTAATTACAACTTCTGACTGAAAATAAAGATAAATATCAACCAAACTATATCTGCTACATTTAGCATCAATGAAGTCTTCTGCCCAATACCAGGGCTCTTCAGGAGAGGACAGCTAGAATATGACAAACATAGCAGTGGTTGAGATACTGTTTACATTATCAAGCTGTTTAACAACTGTTGCAGTGTAAAATGGATTAGGTTGGTGAAATTTAAAAGTTAGACTATGTACTTCCAGTTAGACCTTTTATTTGTTTTGGTTTGTTTGGAATTTCATGCAAAGCTACACGAGGGCTATCTGCACTAACTGTCCCTAATTTAGTAGTAACAGACTAAAGGGAAGGCAGCTAGTCATCACCACCCACCTCCAACTCTTGGGCTACTCTTTTACCAACGAATAGTGGGATTGACCGTAACATTATAACATTCCTACGGCTGAAAGGGCGAGTATGTTTGGTGGGACGGAGATTCGAACCCGCGTCCCTCAGATTGCGATTCAAGTGCCCTAACCACCCGGCCATGCCAGGCCTAAAGACCTTTCAAAAGACATTTGTAGAACCCTAGTTAAAATCTGTGGCCTACAGTATTCTACATATGGATGTTTCTAGCAGCAATCCCAAGAGGACCCTATACTGAATAGATATGTTGGAAGATATTTGGTTGGTTATGGTGCTTCGTCCTGCTTTAAAACATAAAACACAATAAGCAGGTTCAACATTAAATGCCCAATATAATTCAGGACAGTACTTTTAAATACAACTTACACACCTCTCTCTTACTACAGTGGCCAATTAGTGATAAATGAAAAAAGAGTTTAGAATAGCAGTGACCAAGATAGTCTAATAGCACTACATTATCATTGACTTACATAGCAGCAGCTAAGCCAAGTTAATGACACTATGAAATTAATGGTTTGATGCAGTGGTCAAGTCAGTCTAATAACCCTCAGTGATCAATGACTTAGAAGAATTGGCTTGTCAAGTGACAACAAAAAAATTAGCACACAATATTAATATAGTTTTGTTTCATTTCTGGTTTTTGGCACACCAACAAAAACATCAACTTACTTTGCTTCATAACATATGAATGCTTCAACAGTTCTTCAATTGTAGGTCTCTGCTTTGGATCTCTCACAAGACATGACTGGAAAACAAAAAATATTTAGCTTTGATCACTTCAATAAATATCAAAATGCTTACATTACAAATTGACAGATTTATATTTTCTTTACTTTAAGAAATTGACAGTATAAAACTATATTACTGAATAACAAAAAGTATATTATTTTATGTTCCACTCATTTTTCTTTAAAATTTCTAACATTACCAGTTAATGGCCTCAAAACTATTTATGCTTACAAAGCATATGGTAAACAATACTAAAACACTACTTACATTCAAGTCAAAGTGTTTCTGTACATTAAAAATTTTATCACAGAAATATATATTTACATTTATTCAAAAGAAGTAAAAACAATGAAATTATACAAATTAAATGCTTTAATAAAAATAAGATTGACCATTATTTTGAGATTCCTAGATCAATTAAACATTAAAACTCTTAAGTCACATAACTGAACACTTTAATACAGAAGAAATGCATTCAATATCAAGAAAACACTAACTTTCATAACATCCAGTAGATCTACATCATCAATTGATGGAAAGTTTATCTGATAATTGGGATTGGTAATAGCTTGGACCTTGCCAATAATGTTTTGGATATGTTGAAAAGGTGTTCGACCATAGACCAAATTATATAATATACATCCAAGAGACCATACATCTGATCTTGGACTAACCTGTAAAAAAAACAATATTTAATATTACAAGTTATTTGTGAATTGAACTATAATTACTACAAAATGAACACAACTGTGCAGAATAATATTAATAGTTTATGAGTCTTAAAGACTGGTTCTGTTACCCAAAAGACTGCCTCAAATTCTGACAATTAAATGTACACTATAATTGTGATTAAGAATCACTAACATACAGCATATTTCACAACAGTATTTCATTTGTTCACTGGTTTTGTATATCTACTAAAGTAACCATGATGGTGCCACAAGAATCACTCTTAAAACACAGAATTTATGTTATTGATGCACTAACCTGTATTATGCAAGTTTTTAGAAACACATGATTAATCACTTACTACATGTGAAAGTAAAGTAATATTAATATTCAACAGGAATAAGTCTAATTGCAGAAACTACCTAATCTATAAATAACAGATTCACTTATAAACTGAAAAAACAACAGTTAGCTATGCCATAAAGTTAAAAACCAAGCTGTACAACATATAAAGTCAGGAACAAACCAGCTGCTTGCTGTAACATGTCACTGAACAGCAGTATTTAGCTGCACATTACTATATTGTAATCTGTAAACATAAATTAATATGCATATTGAGTGCAGTAGATCTCATGTAACTTATGTCAAATTGCATAGGTTTCAGGCAGTATTAAAAGCTGTGTCAAAGCTATTACAGTAGTGTAGTTTCTTATTACTTTTATGCATGAATCAATCTTGATTATAAAAATAAACCACATACACTTTCAGAGATTAATGAAAAGTAAAAGTTAAACTAGAAAGTAACATTTCATATAGTGAATCTAACCTTCACAAACACTTTTTCTCATATATAAGATGTAATTAAAACTCAAATTTATCCCAAATACAGTTAACTGTGTATGATGCTAAAAGATAGAACAAATATTGCTATAATTTATACTAAATAAAATCTCTTCTTATAATATATTCAAATAATAAAACATCATAAGTTAATTGCAAAAACCATACTTTGATCTTGGGCTTTCTCTTGGTTCCATCTGTTGGAGGAGGAGCTTCACACACATCTAGAAGAGCTTCTGGTGGCATAAAGTTTATTGTTCCAACCTGCAGTCAACGTAATAATTAAAAAATTCAACAATTACAGATTATTACTTACAAGCCCTTATTCTATCTGAGCTTTGGCATTGAAATGAGCATGTAGTCTTTAAAACAGTAAACAATGAAATACATATTGCATGTAATTTTCATGTTATTCTAGAAATCAAGTGCCTTCATATGACTAAGGAATTATTTATATTATCTCAAATGTACTTTATCCACAAGACTTCACTTCATTCTCTCCTTGTGTAGTTCATACATTTAGTACAACTCATAGTGCCTTACAGCTGATGATTAGCTTTTGATAAAACTTAGAAGAAAATACATTCACATTTCATTCTTACTAACAAGATGACAAATGAATTATTTTCAATTTCCAATTCACTTAAAACTTTTAGTATATGCTGAATAGCATTAATTATTTCACAATTCCAACATATCAATGCTAAATTTCATGTCTGAAAAGTTGATATCAATGTTATGTTTGAATAATATAAGCATTTCCAAAGCATTAAAAAATTAACAAGTATTAAAACTTTTCAATAGTAACACAATTAATCATAATATTAACCACTTCAAAATAAATCTCAATGGTTTGAATGCAGCACTAAAGAATTCTAAATAGTAAAATCAACTTCAGTGTTCTTGGAAATATTCATCATATCATCTTGAAAAGTACAAAATATTCAAATGAGAAGTCTTCTTAAAGACATATATTCAAGTCAGTTGAATATGACAAACATTTTTAACACGCCAGTAAACCAAGTCTACTTCTAACTACCATGTCAATTTGAATTATAATTAAAATATTAAGATTTCAGTGAAAGTGAGTGTTGGTTAAGATATTTTTCATCCGATGGAATAACATTAACATTTCATTGGAAATTAATGAACTTAAAGACATCTTTCATATCAGGTCAAACAAGACTGGCATTTTGATTGTTTCAGAAATTTGCACAAAGCTACTTGAGAACAATCTGTGCTTGCCATTCCTAATTTTGAACTGGGTAGATAAGAAGGAAGGAAATTAGTCAACAGCCAACTCTTAGGCTACTCATGTCTGACTGAAGAGCAAGATCACCCTTATATTGCACCTACACCGCCAAATTACAGAGCTCAGTGTGTTTTTTTTTCTTGTAGTGACAGTATGCAAATGATGGATCCACAGATACATTATCCAGTACTGACTACATTTGACCCACTAGCAATTTTAAGATGTTAAAGTAACTTTGAAAACATTCATATTTATTTGAATAGCACATGCATTTTCAATATAATTGGAAAACCAGAGCCCTTGAAGACAGATATCATAAAACAAGTCACAGACCACCTGCATGTAGTAAAGCCTATGCACTAAACTTCAAGGTTTTCAGCTCACAAGAAATTGTTTGTTTGTTATGGATTTCGCACAAAGCTACACGAGGGCTATCTGCACTAGCCGTCCCTTATTTAGCAGTGTAAGACTAGAGGGAAGGTAGCTAGTCATAACCACCAACCGCCAACTCTTGGGCTACTCTTTTACCAACGAATAGTTGGATTGACCGTCACATTATAACGCTCCTACAGCTGAAAGGGCGAGCATGTTTGGTGTGATGGGGATTCGAAACCGCGACCCACAGATTGGAGTCGAGCGCCCTAACCACCTGGCCATGCCAGGCCCTCACAAAAAATATCAATTACAAATCACATTAGGAAATCGAAAGCATCAGAGCAGAGTCTGCTTCTAACAAACATTTTCATGTTGGTTTGAACACAATCAACAATTTCCTCATGTCAGAACTCAAACAACTGCTTGTGAAAATCAGTATGTTCAAATGATAAAGCAGCTTTCAGTATAGTGGGAAGCTCATAGCTTTTTGAATACATTAGCAATTCTACCATAGTAAATTTACCTGTGTATCTCTGAAAACACTAGTCATGTCAGTCTGAATGGCATTAGAAATTCCAAAGTCAATCAGCTTCAACCTTCCTCCAACCAAGAGGAAATTGGCTGGCTTGAGATCAGAATGGATGATATCTATGACCAACAGAAAGAAAAAAAAGTAAATCAAAGAGAATGAAACTTCCCTTTGTACTACATGCTTATCATATTTTTATATGTAACAGTAGAGAAGCTATCAACAAAAATAACCTTCTTTGGACTATTTCAGCTTTTAAAAATATTACCAAAAAGTGACTCTGATGATGTATAGTAGCCAAATATTTTATTCCTTTGAAAAAAAAAACAAGAGATAATTATATATTAAATTTCATTATTAAATAGCAACAACACTAATTTCCCAAACACCAAATATACTAGTGATATCTTCTAAAAAGTGTAATAATACTTTTCGTCATACAAATGTTTATTTTTATTTGTTAGTAATGAAACAACTTAGTATTTATTTCACTTAAGAAAGGATATTGCATATTGTATTAAATAATTTACAATAACATACATCCAAGTAACTTACAAGTGGCAAGGTCAATTACTATGATTTTAAATTATTAATACTGACAAATATGACATTTCAAATATATTATGCTAAATGACTAAAGATGTACATATTAACAACTACATTACCCTTCAAAAACCTTTTAATTTATTTGTCATAATAATTAAACATAAAACCAAACTATTTCTATACTGTTTTGTTTTCCTTATTTCAAAAATTAACAAAAACAATATATACAACAGCCCCATGTTAACTCACCAGCCTTATGAATCTCAGCCACTGCTTTAAGCATTTCTACCCAGTAGAATTTAACTGTGATTGGGTCCAGGGGTTCTGAGCTTCTGATAGATCGAATCACTGCATTCAAATCAGAGTCACCTTTCTCAAGGACCATCAGAAGTCTGTTTTGATCAGGCTGGTATTCACTGAAAAATAAAATTTAATTCATATTCTCATCATTTTCTCTTAAGATTACTCCAAAGTTTCAGACATAAGCCACTATTTTGTCTTTGTGATGCTTGTTACTTATAAACTAAAATTTGCTAACAGACAAAGTATTAAAATTATAGAATATTTTCCAGTTTTCTCAAAATTCTCAGGTTAACTACATAAACCTTATGCATTCAGGGTTCTCAATAGGGACCCACAGAGAAAGGTCCCAGACTCTCAATTTTTTTTTCCAAGAGTTCCAGTAAGATTTTCAAGGGTCCCATACATAGTAATTAATAAACTCAAAAAAAAAAGAAAAAGCACTTCACTGTCAACAAAAAACTATTTTTACAATGTATGCTACATGTTTACCTTCTGTAAGTGGAAAAAAGCATGTTAATGTTCAATGAAAACCTTTATTTACAACTTACATTGCATGTTTTTTTCCCTTCATGAGTGCAAAGTAATTTTCATTATAAAATCAAAAATACTTTTCAAATGTTCAAATTTCAATTTCATAAGCCCTAAAACCTCCTACATAAATATCAAATGTTTCTTTTTTTTTTCAGAAAAACTTTATATTTTATGTGTCATTTTCTTTACCTTAACTCTATACGAGGTTGATTTATTTGACCAATCTCATAACCACCATAAAAAAATTAGGAAATAATTATGAATTTACTTTAATTTTTCTTTCTGGAATGACTGTAAATTGTAACAGAAAACCACAATTGTTTATCCTAGATTAGCTTAAAGCTTGTAACAGTATAAATCTATTTATACTTAATTTTAATGTTTTCTTGCCCTTTTAACTATGTCTACCTACAATTAGCACCATATAAAATGCAAATCACATGCCAATTCGGCAGCTCCCCTTAATCATCAAATTACATAATGTATGGACTACTCATGGGCATACCTCATAAAAATTATCATTAATAATATTAGTATTTATATTACTTTATCCAACCTAAAAATATTTCAATTTTTACATTTTAGCTACTTTTAATAATAATAAATAAAGAATATCTATGAAAAACAACAGATAAAGTACTTATCTGGATCTTTTTTTGCTCTTGACTATCAATGAAACTTAACTCTACTTTTTTATACTAATTGCAGTACTGCATTGAATAATTTATATTTAATTAAATAATGTACCAAAGAACACAGAATAATAACATACAAAAATGAAACAATGTTCATTAACTATCATAATTTGTTTGGCTTTCTAATTGTGCAACAAATTCCACTAAAAATTCAGCTAAGCTTATCAATGTGTTTCCCATGGTAATATAGTTTGAACTGGAAGGAAAGTAGACAATTCTCTGTACAGAAAACAACGCAATATAAATAATACGTTATTTGATAGAGAAAAACTTTGGCTTTCTATTAGTAATAAATAACATAGTATTAAATGTCAGAGAGAACTACTGACAAGTTCTGAAAGAGAGGATGTGATGGGTGGGTGTGGTAAGAGGGGTAGATTTTATTGCTCTGTAACTAAATAAGACTTTAGAATATGTATATTATGCTTTGCCTGAGTAATGAAAACATTATAAATGAGTAATTTACATTAAATTTCATACTTATCAGAGGGGTGGTAAAAACATTAGAGAAGAGGGGATACCTAAATAACAAACATCACAGTTTCCATACTAGGGGAGATTGAGATTTTCTTTTAATATTTCCATACAAAATTAAGAACTTAAAACTTAAATAATACTAAATTTTGATTTATTATCTATGTTCTAATGCTGAGTTTATTCATATACATTGATAATAAAGTAGTTTAATTAAATTTTTAATGTAACTCTACGAAAGGTTGTGACATGCACACTTTAACCTATCTGAGAAGTTACTTTCACATGGCTTTATTTTTGTGAAATTTATTGTCATTGATGAAATCTATTAGAAGTTGACTGTGGACACCTATGTACAAACTGTGTGCCATTTAGTTTGTTATGGTACAAAGTTTGAAGCAAAGTACTTGTGCTTGCCTTGCATATAGGGCATTTTGCAGTGCATATTTGTGACCCTGGGGGGGGGGGGGTCAAATCTCGTGCATCCCAACAAATTCTTGTGTGTATGGGACCCAGGAGTTAGGGTTAACTAGAACCCTGTGCATTATGAGTATATACCAAAATATTTCACATACACTAATGGTTTTATGGCTAGAATTTTGTCTATAGAACAAAAATAAATAAATATCATTCTTTTGAACTTAACTTCCTATGTTATTTCTAAAAAATGACAATCTACATGTTTGGTTGGTACTTAGAATCACTGATAGTTAATATTTTTAAAATTTCAATTTTAATTGCATGAACTAAAGGCATTATTTTTCTTGGGAGGATTTGTTTTTATAAAATACCCAAACCTTTTCATTCTAAATGTACTACAGATATTTAAAAAAATGTTTAAGTTTATAAACCTACTGTTTGAGGTAGACACAGGTCAGACATTATTGATGATCAGGCTAACAGTGTAGCATTATCAGTTGCATGTGCTATGAAAAATTACAATTTTCTATATGCAGAAGGTCTGTCAATATATTTGTTTTTGTTGCAAAGTTACTCAAGGATTATCTGCATTAGTCAGCCCCAATTTTAATTGGATAGTCTAGAGTTAATCAATAACACCCTATAACAACTTTTGGGTAACTCAGGGAGATAAAATGTCACATTATGATGTTCCCATGATTGAAATAGCAAGCATATTGGTGAAAGGATTTAAATCCTATGTCCAAAGATTGCAAATAAAACACCATAACCACCAGGCCATGCCTGACCTTGTCAATAAGAAGGCACAGAAAGTATTGTCAAAGTCAAAATTTTTATTTACCTCATACATTATTTTATAATTAATTCATACTTGTTGAATATTGTTTTTTTATTTACAATTTTAAAGTTTAAAGATATATTTTATGACACTTTTTTAAAAATTTATGTTTCATGCATTTTACTTTTACTGCCATGTTTTTGTAAGTATATTACTACTGGTAAAACTTAACTTTTTAAAAAAAATTAAAGGAAAGGGTTAACTTTTAAATGACACTTTGTTTCCTAACATATATATGTTTGAATGTGATACTAACGTGATAAGATTAACAGTATTAATCTTTTAGTTAAAAATTATTTTAACATACTTGTTGGATAGACAGCAAGTGAATATTGAAATTACTGGCAGTAGACCATGCTTTGAGCATGGTGCATACGAAGCATCAAAATTATAGCCAAATTTATGGTTTATATAAAAATGTTGAACAATGATATCTCACAAAAGTCGCATTTTACTTTCCTCTTATAGTTTTTTAATTCATTTGAAACTGTATAATTAAATATTTGTTATACTAGCTAATAGCATGTAAAAGTTAGAGAGTAATAAAATGATTGTTTTGTATCTTTAAAATAAATTGACTCTAGTCTTATTATTGTAGTACTATCTATAACAGGAACATGATCGAACCTCAAACTCTGATGTTTAAGAAACCAACTTTATATGAGACACAACAAATAAATCTAATGATAAGGTTAAAGAAACATGTTGGAGATAAAGCATCTGGGGATATTTGCTTATTGTTAACTCCAAATGGATTATGGATAGAGTTCCTAAACTTAGCAACTTGACAGGGAAATGCAAATAGGTCAAAATGTTACATTTTAAATCATTACCTCAAAAAATGTCACAAACCAGGCTAAAACTATCAAACTAGATACAAGAAATGTCAATAATAATTCCCATAAGTTGTATTATTCACATCTCAGGAGCTATAAATAACTACTTAGTGTGAGCAAACATTGCAATACAACACTTTATAATGATTATAGCACTTCAAAGTGAACACTTGAATTAATAGTAAAAAAAAATTAGCTTTTAAGTTATGAAGCTTGATAATTAAAATTAACAATATGAAAACAAAACATTACAAGTCATAAAGTTTGATAACTCGGCTGCTTCCTTGAAGACTGCGTAATACTCTGACTTCATTTTTATACCCTTCCATTGTCGAAATGTCAGCTTTCTCAAAACTAACAACTTTGACTGCCAGTGTACACTTCTGTTCTTGATCCATCACTTGGTAAACCTATGCATGAGAAAAGTAGGAACAAAACATAAACAATTTAAAAACAGCATAACAAATTAGCTTTTAATGAAATTGTAAGTAGTTTGAAACATAACTAAACTGAAGAAATCAATAAATCAAATCCTTAATCTAAAAAAAAAAAATCATCCTGCTTTAACTACTATTTATAACACCTGGAAAGTTGTAAATGAAACATGGGAAGTTATAATTTTCCTATACTCTTTCGGTGCTGCCTTCTAAATTCAAACTTTTTTACACATGCCACAAGCCTTTTGCCCCCCCCCCCCCCATTTGGAATTGCAAAATTCCATCTTGTCTCTCATGCATCATCTCCTAACCAATAGGAGAATGATATCCTCACGTGACGCTTGTGACTCCCTCTAACCTCCTCTACCAAACTATCACTTCAAAGTTTGGCTGAAGATGTCAGTACCAGAGAAAAGTGGAGAGGAAGGGTAAGAAGTGTGAGCAGAAGTAAATACCTATCAGAAATACATTTTCAGTATAAGAAAATTACAACTTCTAATACTTTACTTACCTCCTCTCACAAGATTAGCTGGAATCCCACAATGTGAAGGAGGAGGAACCAGTGTGAGGGAACAACAGAAGTATTCCCTGAAAGTATCCAAAAGATACCCCTGAAAATGAAAGATACAGATCCGAAGATCATAAAAGGGGGAACTGCACCACTTCTGATCCAGGTATACTCTTCACTCCAGTGTGAAATGTGTAAGATATAAGGGTGGAAAATGAGAGGAGCACATCCAAGTGTGAGAGAATGTGGTAGGAAAGTGAACCTAACCAGAGAAAGATATTTTAACTCAATCCCACAAGAGAAAAGTGGGTAAACGAGGATGCTCCCCTGTAGAGTGGCTAGGGTGCAGCGGATTGTATTTGGTAAGTCAACCACATCCAAAACCTCCTTATGGGGTACCGATATCCATACAAGAGTAGGATGAAGATCATACCATCTTCACCTCAAACCCAAGAACCATGGATTAAGACCCACACTGATTCACATGTATGACATGAGGATTAGCTCCAAGCTATCAATCCAAAAAATTGACAACCAGTATCTGAGGTACAAGCCAGGACCATCCAATGGCAATAACAACCCCATAAGAAAAGAACGAAGGATAATCAAGGACAGAACCGTAACAATCCCACGTACCACTGCTGTGACCCACAACACAGATGGAGGAAATCAAGGGAGGAAGATAGACAAACCAAACCTGTGTGAGGACTTATGTTGATTGGTTCACTCTAATCCAACACCTCCTCGCAAGGGTGGGATGAGGGCTCCCAATTGAAGGGGTGAACTGCATTCTGACATCTTGCTCTGTGGTATTGAAAATATGAAGATATTATGTCATCTACGCCCACAGAACACCATCGCCCTACTCTGCAACTGAATGGGTATTGTGTGAAACTCATTCAGCAGGGTGCCTCCATGGTCAACCACTCCAACAGCTTGAAACTGGACAGTGGCAAGGACTCCCATACTCCATTCAAAGAAAGGAGGTTGATCATGTAGTGGAGAGTCCGGAGTAACATAACCACCAGATACAGTGCAATGGGTGACCATGAAACCTTATTTTGAAAAGCAGACCATACCAAGTTATTCACTCAAGGCATGGCAGCGATGGGCAGCAATCCCCTTCTGCTTTACCCATGCAGATCATGGGTGGTACAGTATGGGGCAGGCATGTTTATGAAGTAAAATATCACAAGATTATTCACCATCAAGCGATCTTGAGGAACACTCCATCTCCACAGTGAGCATGCTAAGCCATGGAAGAAAAAGCGCGAATCAACATGGCTGTACAGTGCTGATTTAGAGTTAAAGAATACCTGGTCAAAAAACACTCACCACAGAATGTGATACATGTGATAAAAAGTAGATAAAGGTCCCTGAAAGAAAGTATGAAAAAAGACTTACCATTTAGAGTCACACCAAAGTCTGAAGAACAGCCACAGGAAACCCTGACTCAGAGAAAACTGCAATATCATGAAGATAGTGGGAGATGAACATACTAGTAATGATCCACATGCTGGAGTGTAGAATCTCCTCCAATGTATGACAAACATAAGCAAGGGAAAAAGTGAGGTGTTGAATTTGATGGAAGGATACCTGGAACAAAGTCCGAGAAGAAGGTAGGGAAGAATACGCCAATCAAACCAAAAGGTAAACCTAATTGATAAGGGTAGAAGGTGAAAGATCATGAAGAGAGGAGGATTGCCAGGGATAAAGTCTGGAACGTGTACCCCAGAAGGTAGCAGTATGGGCAATATAACAACAAAGAGCCCTGAACAGACACAGAAGCCTATCCAGATCCAGTCAAGGAAAAATATGTGAAATAAAAGGAAGGGAAATAGAAAAAAAGGAGGAACCATCTTCCCTAGCTGCAGAGATCTTAGGGATAAAGGAACGATCTGGATAAAGGAGAAGATAGGTAGAGGAATAAAGGGTACATGAAACATCAATGGCAAACAAATTCAATCTTCGACATCCACAGGCTATGATAAGAAGGAAATATGTTTTAAAGGAAAATAAAACATGGAACACAATGAAAGTGGTTCAAATGGGGGTAAAGTAAGGGAATGTAGGATCACATTAATATCCCAATACAGAAGAACGTAATGCCTCGAAGGGTGATGCATCAGGAAGGAATGCATGAGCAGGGTAAGAACATAGAAAGTAAAAACTGTGCAGTATCGGGAAGAATGAAAGCCATAGGTATCCAAAAAGCAAAGAGACTGAAGACCCATGGTCAAAAAGCCAGGTGAGAAATTCCACCACACAAGCCACGGTAAGCTTCTCAGTGGGAAACCACCTAGTAAAAGAAAAACTGCAGAATACCTTCCACTTGCACTGGTACACCTCCATGGAAGATGGATGGAACCAGTTAAAAAAGAAGCAACTCAATGTGTGAAACCAGATCGTCTCACAAAGGACCGGACAAAAGCTATGCATGAAGATGCAGGATGTGAAGGTTGGGACATAGAATATGTGATCAAAGTTGATGAAGAAGGGAGGGAGAAATTGGAAGGACAGGTGGTGAAGGGAGCAGATGTTGTAAACTTGCAAACCAAGGCTGAGCTGGCCAATAGGTATCAATCAGTAGGACTCAACAAAGAGTGGAGTGGATAAAAGAAATCACCCACTGAAGTAATCGGATGGGTGGGTACACATAAAGATACTTGTGTGACCAATCCTGGCTGGAGGCATCAACTGCCAGAGCCTGTGGATGGGGTAGAGGTGACACAAAGAGAAGTAACTTGGTATTGAGGCCTGTAGCAAAAGCATCCACATGGGGAGAACCTCACCAATGACAAAGATCCCTGAAAATGAGGGATCTAATGTCCACTTCATGGGATATATTTGGTCAGGGCACAAAAGACGATCCATGACCAGATTGAAAGCACCCGTTATGTGACAAGCAATTGGCAAATATGATGTGCGTAGGCCAAGTATAATAGATCCAACGTCTGAAAACATAAATCCCTGGATCAGGTGCCCCCTTGGTGGTTGATATGTGCCACCACTGTAGAATTGTACAAATGAAGCATCACCAGACAATGTTGGGCGAGAAGGGGGAAATGATGCAATGCCCAATGTATGGCTAAAAATTTGAGAACATTGCAAAGCACTTTTGTCCACAGATCAATGGTCTAAAGCTTCCTAGTGATTGACCCATGCCCTCCATCCCTGAAGAGATGTGTCTGTGAAAATATATAAAATAGGATGCGGGGACAGAAGCACAATGTATGGGCACTGTCCAGCCACCAATGCAGATCATCTTGCAGGGAAGGAAGGGAAATATGGGTGGAAAGAGGATCCCAAACAAGGTTCCATCATTCGTGAAGCACCCACTGAAGGGATCTCATATGAGCATGACTGAGAGGGACCAGTGCTGCCATGGAAGACCACATCCCCAAAAGCAATAGAACCTCACAAGCAGTAAGTGACTGAGCTGAAAGAGTGAGGTGAACCAAAAGTTCCATTGAACAAAGTCATAAAAGAGAATGCAGTGCTAGACTGATATTCATGTTGAAAAAGACTCCCAAATGGAGAAGATATTGAGTGGGTTTGAGGAAAAACTTCTCCAATTTGATCAACCAGCCCACCCGAGCTGGCACAGAAAGTAGCTGCCAAGTATGATTGGCCGATTCCTGTTTGTAATGAGCCTGAAGAAGCCAATTGTCCATGTATTAATGAAATCACAGCCCCAGAGCATGGAGCAACATACAAAAGCCTGGGATATTTGACAAAGGTGAGGGCCTGAAATTGGTAAACCACTTCGAGATGGACAAACCGAAGATAAAGACAAAATTAAGGTGATATTGATATATGTAGATAAGCATTGGAGAGATCCATTTTTGTCATCCACAACCCTGGAGAAGACATCCATCTCAGGGTGAGAAATGACTCCATGGTGAACTTGGGTAGTGATATGAAGCAAATGAGGTGAGATTAATCGATTACCAGCTGCCAATCCCCAATTTTCTTGGGGACAGTGAAGAGACAGGAATAAAAAACTCTGGAAGGATGGTGGATCTGTTCGATAACCTGCTGCAAAAGCAAATGTCGAAATGTCTCTGACAGATGCTGGCAGGCCATGAGATCTCAAGGAGGAGGGAAGGAAACGAGTAATGGAGAAACCGGAGGTGGAAAAAAACTGGACAACGAATCCTTCTGACAGAACCTAAAGCATCCATTGATCATCGACGAAGGAATGCCAGTGATGAAGAAACTTGAACAGCTGAACCCCCACCGGACCCAAAAACACTGAGTAGTCACTGGTACTGTTGGCAAAGAAGTACACTGAGTAGAAGGAAGGTGTAAGGGTTGGGAGGATGAAGGAATATATGGCATATGAAATTCTGACCAAGACAAACAGGCTAAAAAGGTCATAAAGGTGGATTGCTGGCAGGCTGATGTTACCCAAGGCTTGATGATTTCTGGGACTCTCATCAAAGATGTCTCAGAAATGGGGCTATACTTAAATCCCTAAGATATGTTGAGGGTAAACAGACCTGAGCCAAAATGGCATCATGACCTAAAAGGTCCCAACAAGAAAGAAACCATGTATGTAATGCCAGAGCCAAAGACGATATGCAAGCTAAAGTGGAGGGGACAAGGGTAAGGGTATCTGCAGAAATCCCCTCAGGATTTCTGTGGAGAATCTCAGATAGGAGGTGTATGGAAGAAAGATACTGAAAGAGGTAGGTAAAGGTAAGACACATGTGAGAATATTAGGCATGGGTAAGACTGACATTTGATTTTGGAGCTGCCACCCAAATAGGTAACAAGGAAACTAACAACTGCTAATCTAAAAATGGATAGTCCACCTGTTGGTAAGAAAGGAGTAAACTGATGAGAAGTCTTCAGAGAGCACAGCATGCTAATACCCTCACTCAATTGCGAGGCAAATTGATCAGCATGAACCCAAATATCAGAGGAGGGAGGAAAAACCAAAAAGGGCTGAGAAAATTGTTCACACAATAAGGAAGGGTGAGGTGAATAAGAAATAGGTGAAAGGGATAAAACATAATAAACTTGAGACTCAAAATTGAGAAAGATCGAAATAAGCCTAAGAGATTCCTCAGGTTGAGAATGAGAAGGAATGGCAAACTTTGGATAGGCTCAGGAGGAGCCTGGGTGATGTCTGGGGACAAAGGTTGGCCTATGTAACAATCGATCTCTCGACATATAAAAGCAAATAAATCCACTATCGGGTCATCTGCACCCGAGGCCTGAGAAAAAAAACACTGGTCGCTGGTGTAACCCCAAAAATGGTAACGTTAACTTTGGAATTCATTGCACAGAAATGGTTCACCAAATCCAAGTGCAGAAATGATGTGACTAGAATTAACTGATAAATACTAATAAAGGAATTGGGTTGAATGAAAGCAAATTAAGTCGAAAAATAACTACTTTGTAAGGGAAATATTAAGCACACAAAAGAGCATATCCAAACACTGCCAAACGAGAAGTGATAGTTCAGTAGAGGAGTGTAGAAGGAGTCACATGCGTCATGTGAGCATATCATGCTCCTATTGGTTAGGAGATGATGCACAATGATTTTCATGAGAGACATGTTGGAATATAGTAATTCCAACAGGGGGGGAGCGGAAGAATTGTGGCATGCATATACAGAGCAGCAATGAATGATAAAAGTTTATCACCATGTTGGAATTTATTTTAAAATCTTATAATTAATTTCTTAGTTTGAAAATCCAACAAATGATAAATTAGCCATTAGTAATTAAAGAGAAAATTTTAGTAATTATTTTGAATTGCCCATTAATAATAATACATTGACATAAATTTAATACTGCTAACATAACAGTATGCAAACACTGCATTTAATATTAAAATATAGCTATACTCATTGCAAGCAGTAAAGTTAACATAGAAATATGACTCAAACTGTTTAACAAAAATATATCTCAAACAAGTCCAACAAACCAGTTTCTTACCCAACAAATTATCATCTACTTAAAAAAGTAATAATGATTAATGTTGAGATCATGTTTTAAAACTTTTTTCTTTAAATTTACATTTCTTATCCAATACCTTTGGCTCATGAAACATTAATACAGTATAAGCTATATAAAAACAACAAATTAGATAAAAATAGCATAACATTTGTATGAACATTACTACAGATACAATGATCAACAAAAGAGTAAAAAAAAAAAACCTTACCTTACTAGATCCTCCTTTTCCTAGAACATTTAAAATTTGATATCTACGTCCATTCACCACTAAAGCGCCACTTTTTCCCTAAAAAACAAAAGCATTGTCTGTATCTTAAGAGAAAAATCTAAAAGATTTAAAAATTGATTAAATCCTTTACATATTTTTCACTCTTATAGCTGGATCTAGTTTGTGTTTTTTTGTCTTTTACATTGATTTTCAAGCTTTCAGAAATGCACTTCTAAAATTCCATTTTTTTTATATGCTTTGTTTGTTTTGTTTATTTGTTTTAGAATTTCACGTCAAAGCTACACGAGGGCTATCTGCGTTAACCGTCCCT